CTGTCTCCCACCGGACCGGAAGCCCCCTCGGTGTCTCCTCCAGGTGAGTGCTGGGGGGAGGGGAGGGGTAGGCTGCAAAGCACATGTGCCTTCTCCTCCGATCCCCCCTTCTGACCTGCAACAGCTGCTGCTGCCTCTGCCTCAGGCCCCTGCCGGCCAGCGTCTCTCGCTGCCTAGCAGCAACAGCTGCTGCTTCTGGGAGAGCCACAGAGCTTTGCTTCAGGCAGGGACACTGCCCGATCTGCAAGGGGCCCTCTTAGGGGCGGGGCCCAATTCAGGGGAATCGGTGGAATCGGCCTAAAGCCGGCCCTGTTGATGCCAATGTTTGCATCAGCCAAAGTTTGTAATGTAGACAAGGCCAGAGAGTTTCACTTTGCTATCTCATCTCAAATATGATTAATGCCTAAATTCCATGCCTTTCCCACACCACACACGCCCTTTCTCAATTTCTTCATTTCCAGTGAACCTTAGAGACACTACTGACATACAAAATGCCATCCAGTATTGAAATGTAGCTCAAAAAGAAAAATAAATTAACAAAAATTTAATATTAGCTATTTTATTTACATCATTCTTTTCTACTATTTCCCAATTCTGCTTTCGTCCCAGTTATATTTTTCTCTAAGTGATATCCTCGCAGCAGACTTTGACTGACGTCTGTGTAACAGTGGTTGCATGCAATATAGTTCATGAGGCAGCCTAAGATGGCTTGCCCCATACTGATTTAAACAAACATTTACTGCTGGTCACAACTACCTCATCCTCAGCTTCAATAGTTGTGCTCTTTGTCACAGTTCAGGGCAACTTCAGCTATATTCCCCTTCTGTGATCCAGCAAGGACACCCAGTCTAGACTCCTGGCTCCTCAGCTGTCATCTTTCTTGGGTAGAGAGACCCATGTCTCTCTCCCTACTGACTTGATTTTTCCAGCCTGCACAATTCCCAGCCTACACTGTGATATCCTCAGCAAGCCAGACTGCCTAAAAGACCAGTGCCTACTCTTTGCTTTCTTTCCAGAGGCTTTGAACAGTGTAATTGCCCACAGTTATAAGTTACCACATTTATTCTTATGATTAAAGATTTACAGAATAAACATATTAAAAAATAGAAGACGCTACACCCATGCCAGCTCCACTGTCAAGCTCTGGTAGGTGTCAGTCCTTTAAAACTCACAACTGGGTTTTTCCGTGGTTACAAGTTCCTAACTGTCTCAGATTCTGAACACCCGTGAAAAATTCACTCTTTCCTTTATGCAGGTTGGGCCTTTGATCTTGGCCTTATGTAGCAAGTGATCAGCACCCATATGGTGTCGTTTTTGCATAACTGGATGGAGGATATTCCCCAGGAAAACCACTTAACCCTTTGTTCCAAAAGTCCATTCTTGTCTGGCAAATAGAGTCCTAGATTTTAAGGTCAGAAGAGACCATCGTGATTATTTAGTCTGACCTCCAGCATATTGCAGGTCACAGAACCTCACCCATCCGCTCCTGTAACAGACCCCAAACCTCTGGCTGAGTTACTGAAATCCTCAAATCATGGTTCAAAGATTTCAAGTTACAGAGAATTCACCATTTACACTAGTTAAAATCTGCAAGTGACCCGTGCCCCAAGCTGCAGAGGAAGGTGAATCCCCCTCCCCACCCGGGTCTCTGCCAATCTGACCTGGGGGGAAATTCCTTCCTGACCCCAAATATGGCGATCAGTTAGACCCTGAGCATGTGGGCAAGACCCACCAGGCAGATGCCTGGAAAATAATTCTCTATAGCAACTCAAAGTCCTCCCCATCTAGTGTCCCATCTCTGGCAGTTGAGGATTTTTGCTACTGACAGTTGTTGATGGGCCACATTGTTAAGTATAAAGAAGAACAGGAGTACTTGTGGCACCTTGGAGACTAACAAATTTATTAGAGCATAAGCACAAGTACTCCTGTTCTTCTTTTTGCGGATACAGACTAACACGGCTGTTACTCTGAAACCTGTCATTGTTAAGTATCTGTCTTTTGAACCCCCAGGTCTCACATCTGTCACATCTCCCCTGCTGATAGATTACATACACTCCTGACAATAATACAAATTATATAATAGTACACATTAATTTAATACAATGGACCCCAAAGATACTTAAACTTAATCCAATGAAGACTCCCCAGGATATGGCAGGAAATTCCTGTATCTATCTCACTCTCATTTGCATGCGCATTGCCTTTTACAAGACAGAGCAGTGCAGGGCTATTTAGCTAGAGCTGATAAAAAAAAAAAGAAACTTGAATTTTGAAGAATGTTGACTTTCTCTCTCTCTCTATATATAGATATCGTTTGCAAAAATCGTGTCCATTCCCACCTGCTCTATATTTACCAAATAATTCCATGGCATTTCCTCCCCACTCCCCCCCCCCCCCAGTAGATGTATTAAAGGTGACCAGAAAATGCTTTTTAAAAACGGGGTTGTGCCCCTTGGGCTTCTTTCAGCAACGTGATGACCTGAAATGACTGTTGTTTGGGGCTGTGTGGGGGCTCTTCTCCCCCTTCCCCCCACCCCGTGTTTCCCCCTTTTTAGACCATCAGCCTGCAACGCGAGGGGCTGTATTGCGAGGGCTCTTTCAAAATCATCACACCCGGTCCAAAGGCGTTTCCTAGTAACGGGCTGGGCCAGCGGGCTCCAGGGCGAAAAGAAAAGGTTGTTGTAGCTGGTGGGGCAGAAGGGAACTGACTTCACGAGTCCTGCCTGGGCCGGGCCCCCAGCACTGAACCCGCTCCGCGCGCCCTTCCTCCCAGTGACACGAGCGGCCGCGATTCCCCCCATTGTACGAAGCTGCAGGATGCGGCTCTTGCCCTGGGGTGCATCAGACTGCGCCGCTGAGGGACCAGGCCGGGGGGGGGCGGGGCACCCCGCGGCGCTTTGCTGGGCACTGGGCTGGCGCTGAGCAGCCGGCAGGGGGCCGCCAAGGGAGCAGCGGCGCGGCGGGACGCTCCGTGGGGCACGCCGGGCCGGCAGGGGGCGGTGGTCTCCGTCAGAGGAGCTAGAGGCGCCTCCCGGCTGCCCCGGCTGGCGCGCGTCACGGGGGCGGGGCGGTCTCTGCGGCTGGAGTAATTGTGGCCGTCCCACTTTGGAATCTCCGCGAGCCGAGCGTTCCAGCCTCATTATCCCCGCGTTCCAGCCAGGCCAGGAGTCGCGCGCCCCGCAGGTAGGTGCCCGACACTCCCGGGGGGCGGGGTTGGAATCACCCCCGGCCCTTTCCCTGCTCAGCTGCCCGCGAGCGGCCTGGGCCTGTGGGGGGCCGCGCCGGGGGAGGCCCCGCCCTTCAATCCCGCCGCCAGGCAGCTACGCAGTTAGGACAGCTTTGCCTGTGGCTGTCCCAGGGGTGCGTGGGGCCCTCGCCTCCCCCCGCAGAGGCAGCTCTGGTGCTGTGATGCGCCCAATTGTCAAGTGCCCAGCACCCGGATTGCTGTTAGCAGCCGCACCTTAATGGCAGAAAATGAAGCTGACTCTAAACCCAGGAGTTCAGACTGGATTGCTCCATGCCCGGGCTCTGTTAGGTGTGACAGGCATGGAGGTAGGGCACCGAGGGCAAGAGTTGTTGGAGTAAATTAGCTTTGATGAGTTGATTAGCCAGACAGTCATGAAATTAATCCTACCAACCCTGTTTTAATGCTCTTTCTGCTGTTTTATATCGCATTCCTCTCATTCTAGGCCTAGGAAGTCTTATACACTCGCTGTATATTTTATCTGTAGCTGAATTTCTTTTGACGTTAAACTCAACTCACGGTGTTTAAAAGTTAACTTTGGGCTTATCTGATTTAAAACCACCAAAAAGGAAATGCAAAATGAAGGCAGAAATTGATTTATTTGTTAAGCCATTTTTATCTAGGTTTTATAGTTCCTAACTTACATAATAGAAGCTCTTATATTCTACTAACTTCTGTTTAGCAGCTGTCATTCTAACACTATGCTGGAATTGGAAAAGGTTCAGAAAAGGGCAACAAAAACGATTAGGGGTATGGAACAGCTTCCATATGAAGAGAGATTAATAAGACTGGAATGTCTCAGCTTGGAAAAGAAAGGACTAAGGGTGGATATGATCGAGATCTATAAAATCATGACTGGTGTGGAAAAAGTAAATAAGGAAGTGTTATTTACTCCTTCTCACAACACAAGAACTGGGCGAGGGTCACCAAATAAAATTAATAGGTAGCAGGTTTAAAACGAACAAAAAGAAGTATTTCTTCACACAATGCACAGTCAACCTGTGTAACTCTTTGCCAGAGGATGTTGTGAAGGCCAAGACAGGGTTAAAAAAGAACTAGATAAGTTTATGGAGGACTGGTCTACCAATGGCTATTAGCCAGGATGGGCAGAGATGCACAACCATGCTCTGAAGTGTTACTAGCCTCTGTCTGCCAGAAGCTGGGAATGGGTGATATGAGATGGATCACTTGATGATTCCCTCTGAAGCACCTGGCATTGGCCACTGTTGGAAGACAGGATACTGGGCTAGATGGACCATTGGTCTGACCCAGTATGGTTGTGCTTATGTTCACTAGTCTATTGATTTGGTTTCATGTTAAAGTAGCAGAAATCAGGTGCAGTAGAGGACCCACAGCAAACAAGTTAACTCTTCCAAAAAAATAGATGAAACAAGTCTTTTCTTGGACTCCAAAAATTCAGCTACATTTACATTTTGCCCCCTCAACATATACATGCAGACATGCGAGAGACAGAAAATTGAGGTGTTGTTTTTTTAAAAAAGGTTAAAATTATGGATGAAAGTAAGTGTGTATAATAGAAGTGCTGACATAACAGCATGTGATCCCATAGTTAGTCTCTTCTATTTTATACCTTGGAACAGAGTGAATTATTCCTTTGGTGAGTTAGCAAATACCTAAAATATCATTTTAAAAGAACCTGTCTAAATTATACAGTAGTAGGTGCTTCTTAGATGGCTTGTAGTGTTATCATTTTTTCCTTTCAAGGACAAAATACTGCTGAATGGAAACAGGTTCTCATATCAATTTACAGCGGTTAGGTCAGGGATGGGCAAACTTTTTGGCCTGAGGCCCACATTGGGGTTCCGAAACTGTATGGAAAGCCGGGTAGGGAAGGCTCTGCCTCCCCAAACAGCCTGGCCCCTGCCCCCTCCGACTTCCTGCCCTCCCAGAACACCTGACCCATCCAACCCCCCCTGTTCCTTGTCCCCTGATCGCCCCCGCCCCCATCCAACCCCCCCGGTTCCCTGACTGCCCTGACCCCTATCCAAACCCCTGCCCCTTGACAGGCCCCCCAGGACTCCCATGCCTATCCAATCACTCCCTGTCCCCTGACTGCCCCCAGGACTCCCTGCCCCTTATTATGCCGCTCGGAGAACCAGGACTGGCGGCCGCACCACCTGGCCGGAGCCAGCTGCACTGCCACACAGTCAAGAGCACCGGGACAGGCCAGCGGCTCTCGCAGCCACACTGCCCGGCAGGAGCTCGCAGTCCCGCCACCCAGAGCGCTGGCAGCGTGGCGAGCTGAGGCTGCGGGGGAGGGAGACCAGCAGGGCAGGGGCTGGGGGCTAGCCTCCCTTGCCGGGAGCTCAAGGGCCAGGCAGGATGGTCCCGCGGGCCGGATGTGGCCCACCTTTGGGTTAGGTGGTGTATACTTGAATTAGAAAGCAGGGAGTGAAATTGATCCTGACTGAAACAAAACATAACTATTTGAGTGAACATTGACATTTCATAGTGAAGAATGAGTGACTTTTTCTCTTCTAAATTAAATTATTCTTATGTATAATAATTTACTGGTTTATTTTGTACTGCTTATAAATGACCATTTTTCATGTTTTCTCTTATGTACATGTTTTTTACTCTGCATTTACAGATAAGAAATACAGCAAAAGCAAATGCTGGTTTCTAACAGGAAATGTCAGTTCTATAATGTACCTGTGCTCTGATTAAAATCTATACCTTTCAGTGCTGTACAGGCTCATTCTAGTGTTTGTGGGGGAGTTTTTTAATGTCGAATTCTGCCTGTTGGCCCTGCTTAGGGGGATTGCAGTTTTTGTATGCAGTTCAGGATTTGATGTTTCCCCCTCCATATTACAGGCTTCTTCCCATGGGTTGAATCGTGCTTTCTTTAGATTAGTCATATATCTGTAAACAGGCATAGTGGGTTTGATCTCAATTTGTGACCGTCTCCTTGTGTCCGTTTTGTTGTTGTTTACCACCGTAGCATCTAACTGCCCTAGCAATAGCATCTAGCAGTCCTGGACCAGGACCCCATTGTTCTAAGTGCTGTACAGACACAGAACAAAAAGACAGTCCCTGCCCTAGAGAGCTTACGATCCATTATGGTTTTAAAGGTTTCAGAGTAGCAGCTGTGTTAGTCTGTATCCGCAA